GAGGTACGACACACACACACACACACACACACACACACACACCCCTATATTGTCAAGAGTGGCTTTGGGGTGTGTGTGATTGTGTGTGTACGTACGTGGCTCACAATGCCTCTCTCTCTCTCCTTGGAGATAAGCCCAAGCCAACGCATGGACCCAAAGACCTCTCCCCCGGCCCCCAGCTCAGGGAAGGTTCTGCTCTGGATCTGAATTGTGTGGTTGGGCCGGCCTGTCCTTTACCTGAGACTATGGTTCATTCCCTTTTTCTAAGCCAGCTGCATTCTTCCCTTCTGCTGGGACAGGCGTTGCATGACCCTGTACCACACAGTACAGTCACCCTGCGGCTGGAAGTTCTGCTTTTAGCTGAGAGCTAACGTGAGCCCAGGACAAGGACACACCAGGGCCTGACCGTTTCTTTCTCAACCCTGGCCACGCTTTATCGGCATCTAACCTCAGAAGCTCTGTGCTGCTCTACCACGAGAGAGAGTTACAAAACTGCCCCACTCCCATGCAACAGACGCACGCGGGAACCCGACAAACCTGTGTCAAGGCGGTGACCCTGTGGTTCATGTCCGGGAGAATCGGGGGCTCGTCTCCAACTTGCAAGTCAAAGTAGACAGTTTTGTGTGAAAAAGTGGAGAACTCGTTGCTGAAGCAAAATGTGTAGACGCCTGCGACCTCGGCTCGATGGGAAAAGCTGTCGTATTGCTTCTTAGCTTCTTTGTAAAGGGTCTTGCCATTGGGATCTTCCACGTAGCAGTCCACATCGTAATGCCCCCCTGTAATCACCTATGGGGACAAAGCAAGTCTGTCAGGGACGGAGAATTTACCTCATGCCCCCCCTCCTCCCCGGCTGGGCCTGTCTCCAGACAGCTCCAAGCAGAGGATGGCACTGCCTGGATCTCACTCAGGCCATGGCCCCTGGCTTTGCATCCCGCCTTTTCTGTACAAAAGCCATCTGCAAACCTGTCCCTATGGGTGGTGGTGGAGCTGGAGCTGGAGCCTGACTGACAGGCTCACACGGAATCCCTGAGGCTGGGGGAGATTTTGTAGCTTTCAGAAATATCCCAATAGCCCTTGTCTGGCTTGGCAGCTCTGAGCTCAGAGGGGTGTTCTCCGGAGGGATCCCGAGTCCGTGTACACAGAGCTCTGCCGCCCGGGTGTTCACATAAAGGCTGGGATGTTAATGAGTTAAAGTATGGCCCGGCCCAGGGAGCTTTTCTTTATCCGGCATTTCAGCGAACCGGGAATTCTATCAACTGCTCCCCCGCCCCCCGTTTGGTGGGAGTGGAGCTCGGTTCTGGTCCGGTTCTGCCCAGATCCGGCTGCCCGACAGGTGGCAAGTCCCAGACCAGCCTAGAAAGTGCCCCTGATCTCTGGCACCAGCCGGAGCTGGCCGCTGGCAGGGGCCGGGCCCGGCAGGGAGATTCATAGATTCATAGATTCTAGGACTGGAAGGGACCTCGAGAGGTCATCGAGTCCAGTCCCCTGCCCGCATGGCAGGACCAAATACTGTCTAGACCATCCCTGATAGACATTTATCTAACCTACTCTTAAATATCTCCAGAGACGGAGATTCCACAACCTCCCTAGGCAATTGATTCCAGTGTCTAACCACCCTGACAGTTAGGAACTTTTTCCTAATGTCCAACCTAGACCTCCCTTGCTGCAGTTTAAACCCATTGCTTCTTGTTCTATCCTTAGAGGCTAAGGTGAACAAGTTTTCTCCCTCCTCCTCATGACACCCTTTTAGACACCTGAAAACTGCTATCATGTCCCCTCTCAGTCTTCTCTTTTCCAAACTAAACAAACAAACTAAAACAAAAGGGAGGACACGGGGCTACCCCAGTCCGGCCAGACCCGGCAGCGATCCGGCGCGGGCAGACCCGGGGCTGCTCCAGCCCAGGTGCCGGCGGAGACGAGCCGGGCAGTGGGTCCCCGCGGCCGGGGCTGGGCCGGAGCGGAGCCGCTCTCCCTGGTGCTGCAGGCTCCAGCCCCGGCCCCTGGCGCGGCGCGGGGCCCCAGCGGGGAGGCGCCAGCCCGGGGCTCTGGGCGCAGCCGGGCCGGCGGGACCCGGCAGTGGCTGGGGCTTCTCCGCCGCGGAGCCCGGTCCTCTCGGGGACCCCCCAGCTCCGACCGCGGCTCCCCCGGGCGCTCCCCGCCGGCAGCCACTAGACCCGCCGGGTTCGGGGCCTCGCACGGGCCGAGCGGGGACCCCCCCCCGAGCCGGGCCGAGCGGGGACCCCCCCCCCCGAGCCGGGCCGAGCGGGGACCCGGCAGACCCCCCCCCCATCCGAGCCGGGCCGAGCGGGGGACCCTCCCATCCGGGCCGAGCCGAGCGGGGGACCCTCCCATCCGGGCCGAGCCGAGCCGAGCCGAGCCGAGCCGGGCCTCGCAGGGACCCCCCGGGCCGAGCCGGGCCGGGCCGGGCCG